ATATCGACCCTTGGATTGGTGAAAAAGCCAACCGAATCTGTCCCTTGCAGCTTGATTGATGTAGTTGGTGGATTCGAATGTCTCTTTATTTTTCAAATTAACATCTAATGCCACACACAACACAGAAACAAATCCACCCATGGATATATCACCCCTTTTCGTATCCCGCTCCCATAAAAATGCTTCAATAAGAAATTTGGCGAGATTGAGGCTCGCATTCCCATGAGATCTAGTGAGCCACCATAGAAGTTTTAAGTCCAATGTAGTCACCTTCCGGCCTCACTCTTAGGTCAAAATAACTGAAGGATAAATCGATGTAGCATGCGAAGAGCTGGACAACCAATAGAACTAGATTTGCTGACACCTGACTCCCAATCTGTTCGACCTGTTATTTGTTTTCAAAAAGTGCTCGAGTCGAAGAGAGAGTAGCTTGGACTGCCCTTGAATTTCATAAACTCTTTCGGACCCATGACACCTTTATTCGGACAATCAAAATCCATATTCACATCGTCCCACGACATTATCCGCTCGTCTCCATCCAAAGAAAATACCACATCTCCCTTATTTGATTAGACATCAAGTGTGGCAAGAAATTCAATGACAAGTGATGGACATATATTATGATCAATACGAAGAACCTTACTCTATCAATGTGTTCTTGCAATGCTATCAAAGAACCATTCAAACCCAAGTTTTTTTGCATCTGAGAGAAAAAAGTAAAGAGTTTGTCCCATGGTTTGATCTTTAAGCTTTTTTGCACATTGTTTTTGAGACTTAGTTAACCAAGAAAGTGGAGTTGATGGTGATGGAGGGAGAGGTTGGACTCTAGATGGTGTTGTAGGTGTGGAGGGTTTAGAGGTTGGCTTAGCTTGTGTAGGTCGTTTTGTGGGTTTGGTGGGTGTTTTTTTTGTGATTTTTCGAGAATATGCGTTGGGGTCATAAAGTGGCTTAGGTGCCGAAGAGGTTCGTGTTCTTGTCCTCATGGTGAAAGTGATGAGAAGTATAAGCAACAAAGAATCACAAACCAATGAACAAGAATAATTCAAAGCCAAATATGTGTCACCCAAAATAATTCACAATCAATCCACACAAAGAATGTAAACAAAATCAACACTACCACACCAACTTGTGAAAATAGATGATAAAAAGGTTAAAACTCAAGAATAAGCACAATTGTAGAACAGTAAGAGATGAAAAATTTGAAATTTATACCTCTACCATGAAAATTGTGCATCAATAATATATCAAACCTCTTATCATAGTCCAAAGATACTTCCAAAATTCCCAATTTGATACCACACAACTTGTAATTCAAAAGCCCTAATTCAATTTGAAAAGTTAGGGTTTATAATTTCAAAAGGAAGAGAAGTATGATGGTGATAGATGGTGAGAAGAGGGAGGAGGCTAGGTGGGCGGCGGTCGCCGGTGGGGTGCGGCGACGGTGGTGGCTGCAGTTGTGGTGGAGGTGGCGAGGGAGAGGAGAGAGAGAAGGTGGGTGAATGGAGAGGAACTGTACGTTCTTCTCTGTTTTTTTTTCTTTTCGATTTTTCTGTTTTTTTTTTTTAATCTGCTGGGCTGCTTCGCCAAAACCCGCAGCCGCAGGTCAGGCCTGCGGGCTGGCAATGGCTGCGGAGGGGTGGGTGGGGGCGCGGGACAGGGGCGCAGGGTTGGCTGCGGGTTTGTGCTGCTGCTGCTATTTTTTTTTTTTTTTTTTGAATGAAGTACTTCACTAAAAAAAACACAAAGAAATGTTAATTGTGTTAGTGAAGAAAAACAATAAAAAGAAGAAAAAAAAACTAAACTTAAATGCAAAAAACTAAAATAAAAAGAACCAAACTAAAAGAAAACTATATAAAAAGAAATAAAAGAAAATGACAAGACAAAGAATTAAGAAATCGCGTTACCTCCCGATAAGTGCTCTTTTAATGTCATGAGCTTGACTTCTTACCTCTATTTCAAATATCAATTGGTAGATCGGAGAGATAAATCGTCTCCAATTTTCCAATAAAAGCACCCTCGGTATATAGCTTCAAAAGTTGTCCATTTACCTTCAATTTCGTGCCATTTTCACTAGCAACCTCAATGGCTCCGTGTGCTTTGACATCAGTGACTGTGAAAGGCCCGGACCATCTGGACTTAAGCTTTCCAGGAAAGAGCCGAAGTCTTGAGTTATAAAGCAACACCTTGTCACCAATCTTGAACTTCCGAGTTTGGATCATCTTATCATGGAACTTCTTCGTTTGCTCTTTGTAAAGCCTATGGTTCTCATAAGCATCAAGCCAAATCTCATCTAGATCGTTCAATTGAAGAAGTCTCGCTTCACCGGCCTTCTCTAAATCTAAATTAATTTCCTTTACGGCCAATTGTGAAAGATATTCCATTTCGACCGGTAAATGACAAGCTTTGTCATACACCAACCGATACAGAGTTGTGCCTAACGGAGTTTTGTAAGCCGTTCGCATTGCCCACAATGTATCATCCAACTTCAATGACCAATCTTTTCGGGACTTGTTGACAACCTTTTCAAGGATTATTTTGATTTGTATATTAGATACCTCAACTTGGCCGCTCGTTTGAGGATGATAGGCCAAGCCAACCTTGTGAGTAACTCCATGTTTCTTAAGAAGAGCCTTAAAAGTTCGTTGATGGAAATGAGAACCACCATCACTAATAACAACTCTTGGGACTCTGAAACGCGAAAAGATGATCTTCTTGAATAACTTCATAACGACCTTTGAGTCATTAGTTGGTGACGCAATAGCTTCAACCCACTTAGTGACATAGTCGACGGCAACCAAAATGTACCGATTCCCGCAAGAAAAGGGAAAAGGTCCCATAAAATCAATGCCCCATACATCAAAAGGCTCGACCTCAAGAATCCCATTTTGCGGCATCTCTTGCCTCTTCAATATATTCCCTGTTCTTTGGCACTCATCACATGCATTGCAAATGGCACGAGCATCCTTGAATAATGAGGGCCAATAGAAGCCACATTGAAGCACTCGGTAGGCAGTTGCAGTAGAACCAAGATGTCCGCTAGAAGGTAGATTATGACAATGATGAAGGACACCATGAGTATCCCAATCTGCTACACATCTCCGAAACATTCCATCAGCACACTTACGATACAAATGAGGGTCATCCCAAAAGTAACGCTTAGCGTCATGGTAGAGCTTCTTGCGTTGTTGGTAAGTCAAATCCGGAGGATGTGAACCACCTACACAAAAATTAGCATAGTAAGCATACCATGGGGATACAGAAGAAACAGAGAATAAATGATCATCAGGAAAAGAGTCATTTATAGGGCTATTCAGAGTAGACTGAAATCTCAATCGAGAGAGATGGTCTGCAACAACGTTCTCTGCGCCCTTTTTATCTCGAATCTCTAGATCAAACTCTTATAAGAGCAAAATCCATCGAATGAGCCTTGGTTTAGCCTCTTTCTTTGCTAGGAGATACTTCAGAGCGGCGTGGTCAGTATGGACAATCACTTTCGAACCAATGAGGTAAGTTCGAAACTTGTCAAGAGCATACACAATAGCTAAGAGTTCTTTCTCAGTGGTGGCATAATTCATCTGAGCCTCATCCAAGGTTCTGCTAGCATAGTAGATGGCATGCAATACCTTATTCTTCCGTTGCCCAAGCACGGCTCCCACAGCATAGTCACTCGCATCACACATGATCTCGAATGGTAAATCCCAATCCGGAGGTTGTATGATTGGAGCAGTTATTAATGCCTCCTTGATCTTGTTGAAAGACTCCATACAAGCATCGGTAAACTCAAATGTGGCATCCTTAAGCAACAATTGAGTGAGGGGTTTCGCTATTTTTGAAAAATCTTTTATAAATCGGCGATAAAACCCCGCATGACCAAGAAAACTTCTCACTCCCTTGACATTCACAGGAGGAGTAAGTTTCTCAATCACCTCAATTTTTGCTTTGTCAACTTGGATGCCACGATCAGAAATAAGATGACCAAGTACCACTCCTTCATTGACCATGAAGTGGCACTTTTCCCAATTCAAGACCAAATTTACATCAGTACAACGTTTAAGCACCTTAGAAAGATTATGCAAGCACATATCAAAGTCAGAACCATAAACACTGAAATCATCCATAAATACCTCCATGATGTTCTCAATGAAATCAGAAAAAATGGCCATCATACACCTTTGAAACGTCACAGGGGCGTTACACAACCCAAATGGCATTCTGCGATAAGCAAATGTACCATAAGGGCATGTAAACGTTGTCTTCTCTTGATCTTCCGGATGAATGGGTATCTGAAAGAAACCTGAATATCCATCCAAATAACAGAAAAAACTATGTTTTGCTAATCTTTCAAGCATTTGATCTATAAAGGGTAAGGGGAAGTGATCTTTCAAGGTGGTCGTATTCAACCTGCGATAATCGATACACATACGCCAACCTGTGACAACACGAGTAGGAATTAGTTCATTCTTATCATTTTTAACAACTGTTGTCCCCCCTTTCTTAGGAACAACTTGTACCGGGCTCACCCACGTAGAATCTGAGATGGGGTAGATGATGCCCGCGTCAAGAAGTTTCATTACCTCTTTCTTCACCACCTCTTGCATATTAGGATTCAATCGACGTTGTGGTTGAATGCAAGGGCGATGATTCTCTTCCAAATTAATTCTATGCATACAAAAATTAGGACTTATCCCTATAAGATCATCAATGTTATACCCGATTGCCTTTTTATGCATGCGAAGCACAGTCAAAAGCTTAGAAAGTTGGCTATCATCGAGTTTAGCACTAACAATTACAGGGCATTCCTCATTATCGTCAAGAAATGCATATTTAAGATGAGAAGGCAAAGGTTTTAATTCTACCTTTTTTACCTGTGACTCAGAAGTAGAACAAATAGTTTCCATTACCTCAAACCCCTCAGTGTTAGGGGCATCCAAGTCACGAATCAAAGAGTCAATCTCTGCATCTCCTTCTCCTTGAGAAACCTCCAAGGTGAGGACAGCTTCTCATGGATCGTTAGCTAACTCACGAGGCGTATCATCTCTCACAATCTCATCAAGCACATCAATCCTGCAACAAGTATTCTCAAGCATAGGCGACTTCATCGCATTGGTTAGATTAAAAGTCAATGTATCATCACCAACAGACAAAGTAAGGGACCCAGACTTGACATCAATAACAGCACCTGCAGTACACAAGAAAGGTCTACCTAAAATAATCGAGATATTACTATCCTCCTCCATATCCAAAACTACAAACTCAACAGGAATGAAAAATTTCCCAACCCGAACGGGGACATCCTCCAAAATACCTAAAGGGTATTTTATTGAACGATCTGCCATTTGCAAGGTGATTTGTGTGCATTTTAAAGCTCCCATATTCAACTTGTTACAAACAGAAAGAGGCATAACAGACACACTAGCACCTAAGTCACATAAAGCTTTATCGATGAATAATGCACCTACATGACATGGGATGGAAAAACTACCAGGGTCCTTAAGCTTAGGTGGGGATTTATTTTGCAATATAGCACTACACTCTGCAGTTAGAGCGACTGTTTCTACACCACCAAAGTCTTTCTTCTTAGTAATCATTTCCTTTAAAAACTTTTCATACATTGGAACTTGAGAGACCAAATCAGTAAAAGGAACAGTTACCTCAAGGTTCTTGACCATAGTCAAGAACTTACCAAATTGTTGATCTACCTTGGTCTTTTGCATTCGATGTGGGAATGGTAGCTTTGGCTCGACGGATGGAGGCTCAGAACCTTTCTTTTTCTCTTTCTCAACATCACTTGCTTTATCTTTCCCATCTTTTGAGGTGGGAACATCATCTAAGGCCTTCTCTGCAACCTCACTATTCTCCTTCTCAAGATTTGCATCATCAGTAGGCATTTGTGGCCCTTCATAACTGACACCACTACGAGTAGTGATAGCATTGGCGGTCTCCTTGGGGATCGGTTGTCCCGGTAAGTGGCCAGGTTGCCTTTGGATATTGGTACCTGTGACTTGTGCAATTTGATTCTCCAAATGCTTTTTCGTGTTTTTCAACTCCTTGATGCTATCTTCAGTATTTTGCTTCATGGTTGTCATCATTCTCATAAGGTCAGACATAGTAGGCTCTTGAGTGCCATGAGAAGGTTGTTGTTGAGGTGGCCTATTGAAACCCGGAGGAGGAGGATGAGAGGCCCCTTGTTGATGTAGTGGAGGCCTTGGAACATATTGCTGAGGTTGAGGGTTGTGAGGTTGTGACCACTGTTGCTGAGGTTGTGCCCATTGTTGCTGAGGTTGAGGATTTTAAACATTATTGCTTTTTTTATGAAAGGTAGGGATGATTCCTCCAACCTAAGTATGAAGAGGCAAAATAAAATCTTCTAAGTATTTATATTTTTGCCTCATCCTAAATAAAATTAATAAATAAATACATAAGTATAATGCTATTAGATGACAATTGATGACGTGGAACGAGGGAGGCAAGGATGCAAGTGACTCATCATCACCACCCGACCAGACCCGCGGCCGCAGGTGGTTCCCGCGCCCTGGCAGTGGCGGCAGCAGCCTCGAGGGGGCGCGGGACAGGGGCGCAGCCACCCCTGCGGTTGGCTGGTTGCAATGCTTAGATTCAAATTCTTATAACTTCTGTTATAGGGATCTTCCCGGGGCGTGTGACCTATAATTGGAAAGCTCTTCAAGTCTAGTTTCCAACGCAACTTGAATCGCATCAATCCGATTTGTAGAACTCAAGATATGATCAAAAGAGTGAGAAAAGGTCATTTTTGATACCTTGCAAACCTTCGTTTTTTCCCCGTTTCTCACTCAAATTCACTTCCGTAAGGTCCATAGTGACTCTCGTGGATGCTATTTTCATTTTCCATGCATAAAATCCTTAGAGCCAACATCCACGAGCATATATCCCTCGATCAATGAACCCGATCCATCGATTTCCATTCAAATATCATCTGAATCATCTCTAAACACTTCGAAAGCTTCCAAATGACTATGAAATCACCTGAATTATTAAGAAAAACACAAACGGAGCGTAATAGAGCGACATATAATAACTTATGCAGACATGACTCTAAAAACGATTAAGAAGACTATGAAAAAGCTCTAAAACTAGCAAAAACGTGCCTAAATAAAACTATAAAAATATGATTTATCAGGCATACAAGTAGACAAGGCTAAAATATCAGTGATTGAGCAATTACCTCCCCCAGTTAATGTTAAGGGAGTTAGAAGTTTCTTGGGTCATGCGGGGTTTTATCGCTGCTTTATCAAAGATTTTTCTAAAATTGCTAAACCACTGACACAGCTCTTGCTCAAGGATGCCCCATTTATTTTTACTGACGAGTGTCTTGAGGCTTTCAACTGGATTAAGCAGGCTTTGATATTGGCACCCATCATATGTGCTCCCGATTGGAACCTTCCTTTCGAGATCATGTGTGATGCAAGTGACTTTGCACTAGGAGTCGTGCTCGGACAGAGGAAGGACAAGGTTTTGCATGCTATTTATTATGCTAGCAAAACTTTGGATGAAGCCCAAGTCAACTATGCCACTACGGAAAAGGATTTTCTTGCTGTTATTTATGCTTTAGAAAAATTTAGATCATATCTTGTTGGTTCTAAAGTTATTGTTTTTACTGATCATGCAGCATTGAAATATTTGATAGCTAAGGCGGAATCAAAGCCAAGGCTACTCCGGTGGGTTGTCTTGCTCTAAGATTTCAACATAGAAATCAAAGATAAAAAGGGAGCAGAGAACGTAGTGGCAGACAACTTGTCACGTATCAGGTATGATGAGGGTAAGGATTCTCTACCTATAGATGATTCTTTCCCTGATGACAATCTATATGCAGTTGTAGACATGGTATGCAGACTTTTCTAATTATTTAGTGGGTGTTACTCTACCTCTTGACTTGTCCTACCAACAAAAAAAGAAATTCCTTTCTGATGTTAAGCATTATTTTTGGGATGATCCTTTTTTGTTTCGTGAGTGTGCAGATGGATTATTTCGCAGATGTGTTCCCGAATGGGAAGTCCACGGTGTGCTTACTAGTTTCCACACCTCACCATATGGAGGACATCATGGCCCCACTAAAACGGTGGCCAAGATTAATGAGTCAGGTTTTTATTGGCCTACAATGTTTAAAGATGCTAACATGTTTGTGCAGGCTTGTGACTCTTGCCAGAGGACAGGCAACATCTCGCGGAGGCATGAGATGCCCCAAACAGGAATTCTAGAAGTTGAGATTTTTGACGTTTGGGGTGTTGATTACATGGGACCGTTCCCTTCTTCAAAAGGGAACCGTTATATTCTTGTCGCCGTAGATTATGTATCCAAGTGGGTTGAGGCCATCGCCACTCCTACCAATGACGCCAAGGTCGTCCACAAACTTTTTAAGAAGACCATCTTTCCAAGATTTGGTGTACCTAGAGCTATAATAAGTGATGGAGGATCTCACTTTCATGAACGGAAGTTGGACACCCTCCTCAAAAAGTATGGTGTTTACCATAGGACAGGTTTAGCCTACCACCCCCAAACTAGTGGCCAAGTTGAGGTTTCCAACCGTGGGATCAAGGCCATTCTAGAGAAGGTGGTGTCAAAATCAAGGAAAGATTGGAGCGACAAGTTGGACGACACTCTTTGGGCATACAGAACTGTATTCAAGACCCCTATAGTACTACTTCGTATAGACTCGTGTATGGAAAAGCATGTCATCTCCCGGTCGAATTGGAATATAAGGCATATTGGGCTATTAAGGAGCTCAATCTAGATGCCAAACTAGCGGGAGAAAAGAGGTTACTTCAACTTAATCAACTCGATGAGTTTAGGTTAACGGCCTATGATAGTGCTCGAGTCTACAAAGAGAAGACGAAGAAGTGGCACGACAAGATGATCCTTCCGAGAGAATTCAAAGAGGGTGATAAAGTGTTACTATTCAACTCACGACTTAAACTTTTCCCAGGAAAGTTAAGGTCAAGGTGGTCGAGTCCTTTTATCGTAAAAAGGGCCAACAAATTCAGTTCTGTGGAAGTTTTCGACGAATATGGTAACGAGTTCAAGGTTAATGGCCAAAGACTCAAGCTATATCATGAGGGGGCTACAATTGGTGCGGTTGATATATTCACCTAAGTAGTTCCGATTCACTCTGAGTTTCACTGTAGTAAGAGGGTCGTGCGGGACCTAGATAAACCTGCGCTTTGCGGGAGGCAACCCGTATTACTTGCTTTCTACACTAGTTTTCCTTTTTATTTATTTTTATTTTTATTTTAGAAAGGTGAGGAGAGTGAAATTTTACCGTTTATAAGTTTTTTTGTACAGGTATAGGTTTAAGAGGTCAAAAGACTTAGAAGAATTTGAAGACGAAGAAAATCAAAGGAAACCGACTGGGCACGGGCCCGATCGGGCGGAGCTCGCCTGATCGGGCGCGCAAGGAAGGTGCATTTTCAGCCTTAAATCCGCCCGATCGGGCGTGGCTGCTTGATCGGGCGCGCAAAGAGAGCTGGAAAGTCGAGCAAATTTCGCCCGATCAGGCCAGGTTGCTCGATCGGGCGCGCAAGGAGAGTCAGAACTCGAGCGAATTTCGCCCGATCGGGCGAGGTTGCCCGATCGGGCGCAAATCGAGTGAAGGAAAAGATAGATCGGCCGAAGCTAGCCCGGTCGGGCGTGCAACTACGATTCTGGAAATTCATATTATCTCCCGATCGGGCGAGGCTTGCCCGCTCGGGCGCGCCTATTTTGGTCGTCCCCTTATATTTTTTTTCCTCTTCTTTCTTTCCTCACTTTCTTCTTATTTCATCTTCTTCTCCTTTACTTTCTCTCTCTAAAACCTCTATTTTTACACCTTCAAACTCACTTATTTTTCAAGATCTTCTCTAATCCTTCCATCAAAACTCAAATTTTTTTACATATTTTCAATCCTTTCATCTTTCTCTACAATCTACACCCAATTTCTACCATTTTCTCTCAATTTTCTCTAAACCCTAAGAGAGAGAAACCATTCAATTCCTACACTTTATAATCTCAATGGCTTTCAAGAGATCAAGAACGGTAAGGGGGGAAGGCTCAAGGCAACAAGAGGCGAGAATCGACCCGGATTTGAAAATTCCGAGATGGGAGAGGGTGGTCATAACCACCCAAGAGCAAAAACAGAGGATGCTCAACCTCATTACGAGGCAGGTAATTCCCACTCGTTTCATTCATCACCCTACCCTTATTAGATTAGGAATTGATAAGCATGTAGAAAAATTATTCAAGGGAGTTGGCATGAGCGGTTTCTTTAACATGCATTACGATACTTATGATTATTTAACCTTAGAATTCGTTTCTAGTTTTAATATCATAAAATCAAATGCTTTAATTTCTCATGTTCAATTTCGATTATTCAATAATGATATTAGATTTTTGAGTTGAAATCGGATAGGCCCCTTGAACCGCCCCAAGACAACATTGTCGTTGTCTATCAACCCCTTACGGAGGATCCTAATTTGAACCTCCAACATGCTAAAGGCACTTGGATACAACATCCCGTGCCAAAGATTTGGCAACGGTTTGTTAGCCTTACCATATTTGGAAGGCATGAACCCACCAATGTTAGGCGGGATGAGCTTGAATTACTAGGTTCATACATGATCCCTAGGAGTGAAAAGCTCAATATAGTCCATAAAATGGCCAACCACTTCCAACGGGTGGCCAATGCGGCCGAGGCGGGTAGGTCTAGGGTACCCATTTACTTTGGTGGCCAAGTTACACATATAGCGATCAAACACCTTAGCTTTGTCCCTAACGATGACGGTAAGGTAGCCGGCCCAACTATTATGGACCTACCCAATCTAGGTGGCCTTAATTGGGTTAATGTCATGGGAGGGGAGACTTGGTGGGTGATTCAACGGGAATCGGGTAGGAGAGATAATGCTTTCACTTTACCCCACCCCACCTTGACCAAATTTGAGAAGGGGAAGCCTTCTTACACTTTCAAGCTTAACGGTCAAGGTGAGGTGCTACCACCTCACCCTTCACCTTAACCCCATCACTCTCCCATTGACCACTCACCTCCTCACCATTCACCACATTATCCACCACCTCAACCCTTTACATACGATATTCCCACTTC